GTTCGTGTTGGCGGTAATATATAATACTTAAAAAATGTTTTGACTACTTATATCCGTGAATATACTTCTTATGAACCTTAAATATTAATGTAAAAACAAAATGTTGTTTCAAACCAGAAGTCTCTGTCGAGACTGTAGCTCTACTGGTTTGTACTTATCAAAAACCATTGCACTGTTTTAAGTTTCTTTGTGTAGTCTACTTGTGTGCCAACTTATTTTGAAATCAAACTAAAACTGTAGAAGGAGTAGCGTTTTAAAGGAATTTCACGGAAAATTCTATTTCTAGTAACCATGGCAACACCATTCATTGAAATCAAAAACTTATGCACTATTCTTTGTATCTTAGTGTAGTCTACTTGTATGCCAAGTTATACTGAAATCAGACCAAAACTGTAGAAGGAGTAGCATTTCAAAGGAATTTCACAGAAAATTCTACTTTTAGTAACCATGGCAACATCGTTCACCTAAATCAAAAACCGATGCACTATTCTTTGTATCTTAGTGTAGTCTACTTGTGTGCCAAGTTATATTGAAATCAGACCAAAGCTGTAGAACGAGTAGCATTTTGAGAGAATTTCATAGAAAATTGTATTTTTAGTAACCATGGCAACACCGTTCATCGAAATCAAAAACCGATGCACTATTCTATGTATCTTACTGTAGTCTACTTGTGTGCCAAGTTAAATTGAAATCAGACCAAAACTGTAGAAGGAGTAGTGTTTTAAAGGAATTTCACAGATAATTCTATTTTTAGTAACCATGGCAACACCGTTCACCAAAATCAAAAACCGATGCACTATTCTATGTATCTTAGTGTAGTCTACTTGTGTGCCAAGTTATATTGAAATCAGACCAAAACTGTAGAAGGAGTAGCATTTCAAAGGAATTTCACAGAAATTTCTACTTTTAGTAACCATGGCAACATCGTTCACCTAAATCAAAAACCGATGCACTATTCTTTGTATCTTAGTGTAGTCTACTTGTGTGCCAAGTTATATTGAAATCAGACCAAAGCTGTAGAAGGAGTAGCATTTTGAGAGAATTTCATAGAAAATTGTATTTTCAGTAACCATGGCAACACCGTTCATCGAAATCAAAAACCGATGCACTATTCTATGTATCTTACTGTAGTCTACATGTGTGCCAAGTTAAATTGAAATCAGACCAAAACTGTAGAAGGAGTAGCGTTTTAAAGGAATTTCACAGAAAATTCTATTTTTAGTAACCATGGCAACACCGTTCACCAAAATCAAAAACCGATGCACTATTCTATGTATCTTAGTGTAGTCTACTTGTGTGCCAAGTTATATTGAAATCAGACCAAAACTGTAGAAGGAGTAGCGTTTTAAAGGAATTTCAAGAAAATTCTATTTTTAGTAACCATGGCAACACCGTTCATCCAAATCAGAAACCGATGCACTATTCTATGTATCTTAAAGTAGTCTACTTGTGTGCCAAGTTATATTGAAATCAGACCAAAACTGTAGAAGGAGTAGCGTTTTTAAGGAATTTCAAGAAAATTCTATTTTTAGTAACCATGGCAACACCGTTCATCGAAATCAAAAATCGATGCACTATTCTATGTACCTTAGTGTAGTCTACTTGTGTGCCAAGTAATATTGAAATCAGACTAAAATTGTAGGAGGAGTAGCGTTTTGAAATATTGTTTACAGACAGACGGACAGGAGTGCAAACTCGGAGGCCATAACATCTTTGATAGCCTACTAGAGGAACTAAGTAACTGTGAGTTGGACACTAAAAAACTCACAGGACATGTGACAGATGGAGCATCAGTCATAGTAGGCAAAAGATCAGATGTTGCAGCACGTCTAAAACAGGAAAACCCCTTGCTTATTAATATCCATTGTGTGTGTCACCGACTTGCTTTATCTTGCACAGATACTAATGAATTGGTTAAGTACATTAAAACTGTTGAAACAATTTTGAGACAATTATAGACAATTTTTTGAAAATTCACCAAAGAGAATGGCAGCATACTAAAAAGTGCAGACTGATATGAAAAAATATCCTGATCGGAGAAGAAGCCAAATAGTCTGTAGGCAAGCGCTTGAAAAAAGCCTGTAGAACAAGATGGCCGAGTTTTCAAGCAGCAGTAGATGCCACTGTGAATGATTATGAATCTGTGCTACAAACACTTTCGCAGAGGGATGATGACCCAACAGCTTGTGGCCTATTGAAAAAGATGAGATCTATCAAGTTCTAGGTGCTCTATACATTCTAAAGGACATTCTTCCTATCCTTGCACAGCTTTCAAAATACTTTCAGAAAGATGTCATCAGCTTTTCTGCAATTACCCCTGCAGTGAAAATGACCAAAGACAAAATAAAGGAAATACAAGACACGGAGGAGCCCTTAGAAAAGTTAAGAGCTGATGCAGATTCTTTTACAAACATTTGTGGAGATATCAGGTGGAATGCCAGAGACTCGGGAGTATCTTCACAAACTGCTGACTAGCTAAACCAAATCACTAGTGGAGGAAGCAATGGAAGAATGAAAATGCGAAAATTTTTGAAGGAGAGACCTATTTTTGTCCATGTTGTAATCGAGTCATTGTTAACGATGTCACTGCTTTAAAAGATGGAAGTATTTGTTGTGAATAATGTGGTCTTCGGTACATGTACCACACTAAATGTGTTAATATAACAGATGCAAAACTTGAGAAAACAACATCTTGGCACAGTAGTGAGTGTTCTATGTGATATCGATTAACAAGTATGCATCTGTTTCATGGATACGGGCCGTAACATAAGCCCCTCTCCCATTAAAAGAGCTCACAGATCTAGAGTACACATCATCTGACTTGTGATCTTTCTTTAGAACTGTACCAGGCGTATCATGCTGAGCCTTCTTAGTATTGATATCGTTCCTAAACTTGTTTTCAGGCTCTTTCTTCAGTTGTGGGCAGTCATTTCTCGGATGCTTATCGATCCACACTTGTAGCATTTTCTAGCTGAAACTTCCACTGTTTCAGTTCCCTCATATCACGCTGTAATGCGCTCATGTTCCTTTTCAACTGTTCCTATGAAATGATCGAGTTTTGATGTCTTAGACGAGTCGTCAGTATTCTAACTCGTCACCTTGACTGTATCTGTGCGAAGGTTTTCTGCTCTGTTGTATGGTTCGCGTTCTACAGCTCTCTGTATCGCATCATTCAGGTTAATGGGTCTCGCTTGCTAAATCTTGAGACACATCTCTGAGTTGTGCAACCCATTTAAGAATTGTTTTGTAGCGAGAATTTCCCGAACGTCATCCGGAGCCGTTGGGTAGGCTAAATTTATGAGTCTTTTTATATCTTGACCCATCTCTGGCAAACTCTCAGAAGCCTTTTGTCTTCTTTCTCTGAGCTGTGCTCTGTAAAGCTCTGTCTGGTTCAAAGGTGCAAACCTATCTTGCAGGGCTTTGACTAGTTTACCTTAGTTCTGTCGTCCTTCACTAGGCTGATTTCCTAATACTCCTTGTGCCCGGCCTCTAAGGGATGCAGCCAAGTATAGTCCCTTCTCAGTCTCTGTCCACTCATTCAAAAGACATACCGATTCAAATTGAGACAGATAATCATTCCACAAACCAGATCCATCATATGTAGCGGTCTTTACAAAATTTCTGGATCGAGCTTGTCTAGGGTTTGTATGCGTCCTCGGATTGGGAATACGCATAGAAACTCCATCATTAGATACAGAACCCTCATCATCATCCGTACATGTACATACATCATCACTGACATATCCATTCACCTAACTCTCTGTCTCTCATTCGCGGTACTGGTACTCCTGACGGGTCTGTGTCTCCGGCGGGATTCCTACCCATCACAGAGTCATGTATCTCGCTGTATGATTTAAACAAATTTATTTCACTCGCCAAAAAATCAACATCAGTTTGTAAACCTGACATTATTAGACAAGTGATAAAATGATATCTATGAAATGAAAATCACTGATCCAAACCTCGATGCTGCCGCCAATTTTTTGTAACGTGTTCTGGGTTTGGTGATTTGGACCAGTCCGGGGGATGTATAAAAATGATCAGATTTACAAGAAAATAATTACATGGGTTACAAAACACAGGCTGTACCCATAGGCATTTGGGTATGGACCCCCCCCCCCCCTTCCATTTTTTTTCTTCTTAAATCTGTTCTCGTCATCCGCCTCACCTCGCTTAAACTTCGCTCGATTATTTATCTAAAACGGAATAAAACATGGGATATGCATTCATTAGTAAATTTGTTATACATCCCTCTTCCTTTTCAAACTTCCTACTATTTAACTTTTTATGACTCTAACCACCGTACTTGATCTCACGACATCCAAAATGTGAATGACAATTTTTACCTATATATTCATCAGCGACACCGTGACTAACCTCGGCTTTCACCAAATGCTTAATGATAAAACCGATTATAACTGAATCCCGAGTCCTATCGGCAAAGACATATGATTGGCCCCATGACAAAAGGTCCTTATGGCATTTTTTTCACATTTTCAGATTATTGTTGATTTAAGTAGATACAAGTCAGATGATTAATAATATGAAGTTTCATTGTGATCTGTCAACCATAAATACTTTTATTTTTCATTTAAAGTAATGAGTTTTTGCTAATGACGTTGATCTTCAGCAACGTAATGCTTCAACGTCATGAACGTCAGTATGAATCTTTGCAAATAACTCTGTTGATCTAATATTTCATAAAAACTAATTCTTCTTTGATACTACATGTATCTTTTTAAATTATCATCTTTCTTTCTTCATTTAAAATATTAATCTAATTTAGTAAAGAATACTTAATATATGTACTACGTCATTTCATGTTACTCATCATCAAAGTAATAAGGGAACTCAACGTTTCTGGGTGGGTAGTAAATTTTATCTTTAAACTATTGCTATGCATACCATTGAAAAAATCATTAGAAATAATATAACAGTGAATTTGTGATAATTTACAAATATATCTTTATAAAGAAAATTTTATCACTATGGGCATCTTAACTTATTGAAAATATAACTGTATTAAAACAACAAAACTTAATTTATAACCTAAAACCAATAACAATACATTCATTGTGTGGTTGTGTCCGGGACATATCTACTCCTCCGCGGGAGTGGGACACAACTCCTCCTGGTGGGCTGGTCGGACGTATGGACGCACAGTCCTATATAGGTACTGCTGTCTTTCCTTGGAAAGACCAGGAGGGACAATCACTTCTGGAAGTGTCGTGGCATCGAATTCTGGTGCTCCTCTCTTTGTTATGGACACTAACTTTTCCTCGCTGTCGACGCGCTCTCTAACGGACACACTCCAGGGATTCTCTGCGCTGAATCTGAAGTGGTGGTACTGCCTAATGCCTCTTAATGCAGTGAAGTGGGAGGATAAAAACACTTTCCAACTTCTCCACTGCCAAGTACCGGTCTGGAATAACACTGCTTCGTTTGATACGGCAGACTTATTAATTAACGTTTGGAACTGGCCCAAAGAATCGACATCTGAACGCCGGTACAACTTCCGAATGTGGGCAAAGCCACTATCTACAAGACACCTAAAAAAATTAAAGTATATAACATGTAATAATTTTTTTTTACTTTAAAGATGACAATAGCTTTAACAACTGAGAAATATTGTATACCTTGTGTGTCCAGGAATTTGCATCGAGTATTCGATTTCTTCGTGTCGACCGGTCATCACACGCCAACACAAGTATGCCAAGACGTATTGGTTTTTATTCTGTCCTATTGTGCAAAAAATCAAGATTTTTTTTAACACATACACAAGGCATGTACAACTAAATCATAACATATAAGCATTGATACTTTAATGATAACAGACCTGAGCAATTGTCCGCATGAAGAGAGCATTTTCTTTCCCCAAATCCGTTTTCTGTGAGTGCATGGTCCAGCATGCTTATAACAGCATCTGGTCCATTTGTCAATGTCCCATCTTGTCCTTAAAATAAAATTTTATCATGAATTGCAAATACATATATGCATAAAAGTCGTAATAGTTTTTATAGTGTTTTTATACATATATAAATATTTATTATATTTAAGGGAGGGTGTGTATTTTTGTGTGTGTGTGTGTGTGTGTGAGAGAGAGAGAGAGAGAGAGCAAGCGAGAGAGAGAGAGAGATTTTACAGTGGAAACCTACCTATAGTTTGATCTACGTCAATCACATAATTGATTTGTCTGGACACACCATCTATCCGTACTCCAAAGACCTGCACTCTTCGCAGCTGTATAAAGTAAGTGGGTCCCATTTGACGGGAGTGGTGAGGTAATTGAAAATGTTGTGCGAAGTCAAACGTATAGTGCACATTGGTCAGCTCAGCTCCCTCCCAGGTTGACATTTCTTCTATCGACTTCTCCACACAGTTTCTGTAATGAGTTCTTTCTGTCTTTGCATCTTCCAAATGTTTTTTAAACTTTTCAGTGGAAGCCAGCTTTTCTTCCTCAGTCACTGCATCAATAATCTCTTTTCTGAGGCACTCGCACCTTTGGCAGACGTCATCTCGAGGCCGGCTAATTTTAATATTTGGGATGCAGTTTTGCCACGCCTCTGTAAAAGACGATAATTTCAGAGCACGAACATCTGTACCTTCACAAGAGGCTAGGTAACGCTCGTGAATACCTTTCTTTGTATCTGATGACGGTAAGAAGATAGGTGGGATTCCGTCGCTTCCTCTTGGAGCCTCCGGTTGGGGCATTCCTACCTCTGCAGCATAATTGATGATAAAAGTAATGGCATTTTGAACATCCTCATATTTTAGGGCATGGGTGGGTTTTTTCCCGGTATTTCCATGTTCTCGGGGAACTGCTCCGTTGTCATTTAAATGCCTACTAATATTTTTCACTACTTTTTCAGATGTGTCATTGATGGTCATGAATGCTGTTCTACAGATTCCCTGTCCTTGAAATGTATACTCGTAACTTAGCCTTTTACGTTCTTTGCGTTTCGATGTGATTTTCTTACTCCCAATTTGTTTGATCGACCCCATTATAAACATTTCTTTCTCGTCTTTCGTCATTTCACGTAGTCTGTAAATATGGTCCCTGATTTCTGCTGAATTAAAGTTTTCGAAACAGTTATTCACACAGTTACATTTCAAATTCTCTGAATCTTCATCCGTGTTTCCGATTGCTTGCTCAGTATTTTCTTGTTCTCTAGCATCCATACTGCCGTCGTTGCGATCTTGCACAAATTGTGAGACCCTTAAGTTCACCATTTCGTCGACATCTACTTCATCTTCATCATCGGTACTTTCTGTACATTTGTCGTCTTGTAGCTCTCTGTTACGACCATCTGTGTGAATGCCAAAATGATCACTGAAGAGATTATCAAGTTCCTGAAACAAAATTAAAATAAAATAATTTAATGAAATCAATTAATTTCTTTTTATTAAAACCCAAAAAAGTGGCGTAAAACGACTATAGAGATAGGTAACATTATGAAAATTCAACATTTAGAAAAGATAATCAGTTTTAGAATCTTACTAGATGATATCAAATGCAATATTAAGCAGTTTACAAATTTTAATTCTGTGAAACAAATTATTTTATTTTTATTTTTTCATTAGTTTATCAAACTTTTATTTTTGCCTTAAAATTATTTTCTTTACTTATCATCAAATATTTTTAATTAACAAATTTCATGCATGTACATTGTTACAGATCTTCATAAAAAGATAAAAATATTCTAATTTCAGTATTGAATTTTTTTTTTAATTTGTTATCAATTTTAATATATTTTTGATATACATTTTTCACACAAAATATTTAATTTCTTAGTAAATTCTGAAATTCCAGTTCTCATGTTTATTTCAAATAACATTGATGAACTGATAATATTATATATTTTGGCATTTACGTTTGTTTTCGTATTTTTCATGCTAAAATCATTTCCCCTTGTGAGGCCTCAATTTTTCCCTATTCGTGTAGATGGATTATCTCTCTTTGTTTACTAACGAACAGAATATAAAATGCTATAGGCGTTTGACAAACGTGAGATTTTATTTAATTGTGTATTTCATGCAATAGTGTTGAAATCTTCAATACAGAATTGAAAAAACAACCAGGTTCTGAATAGTATTTTATGGTCAATTTAGTAAGATGTTATGAAGTTATAGCTCGTCAGTCGTAGTGTTGTCAATGACTCCAAACGTAAACAGATGCAGACGGGCGGATCAACATGTTCAGAGCGATGTCTAGGCTATATCATAATTTATAAATCTATAGCAAGTGACAAATCTTGAAATTATTTAATACTTAAAGAGACATGCCAATACCTCAAACTCATCCATTACAGGAAATGATTAAATTGTTGAAGCATTATTTTCTTCTTCAGTAAGTGTTGTCAAGGAAAGAGTTGTCGTCCGTATAATTCTGAAGAAACCGGCGCGGAATATAAATATTCGGATTTAATAAAGATTGAAAAAAAAAATAAGTAAATATTATAAAATTAATTTCACAAAGCATGTAAACATTATTCTGTTTACACAGGTGCGTTTCATGATTGATAAATGAAACATGTTTTGATGGGGAAAAAATCCGCGCTTTCACTAAGAACGCTTTCAGACAAAATCAACGTCACATCTTTGTGACGTTTTTTCTCTGCTCTACAAAGAAAGCCATAAGGACCTTTTGTCATGTGGCCAATCATATATCAAACTCATTGTGATACCAATTGCTTTCATTTATTTCACTGCTCATTCATAATAAGTAATCCCCTCGATTTTCTTTGACATCGGGTTCGATACCATCTGACTTTCTAGAACCTTCAACGAAGAGTGAAATCGGATATAAACGGAAAGGATTTGCACATTTTTTTTCAATCAATGACCAGCGCTTATTTCTTTTTATATGACTTAAATCGAGTTTTGATTGAATAAGTCATCATGACGTTTCATGAAATAAATAACCGCTTGCTTCTTGTCAGTTTCATTATAAATTGCTAGAAACTTAGATCCGCAAACCGGAATCACAAGTTCTTGTGGACAGGACCACACATATTCATCATGTGTACAATATCCAAAAAAATCGTCAAACCCCCAAAATAATCCCCCCACAAAAAATACCCCACTATACATTATTTCTCTTATAATGTATAGTGGGGCAGGTTTTGTGGAGCGATTAGTTGGGGATTTTGACGATTTTTTCATATTGTACACACGATAAATTAAGTGTAATAAATATAATTTGTGAAAATGAAAAAAAAGGTTTAGAATTAAATTTACGATAATTATTATGCAAGTGAAATTTGAATACCGGTATAGTCTACGGACATCATCTAATACCTAGTGTATTCCTTCAGGCTTAAGTAAGAACTTTTGTGCAGCTGTTTCGGAGTTTATAAATAATTAAGTATAGATTTAGTTTTTATGTCTGTTAATGCATTAGATTTGAATTTTTTAAATCAACAATAGCAGTGATTTTTCTTCACGACTTCGCTTAAACTTCGGTTTTACTTGAATACATGTTACATGTACATTAAAAAGAAGTTAAAAAAAAACATAATTCCTCGACTTTAATTTTTCCCAGGGCCAGCCATCACTCTTGCTTTCTAATAATTATTAACACATTTTTAAAGGCATTGTTTTGGGCATACTTAACATGTATATGCCACGATATCTATAATATCAGATTCCTTTTGACATAATCGACTACTTTTGTTCTTTATTTCTTTCTATGTTAAAAAGAAAATTTAACATAGTACATGAAAATAATTTTTTTTTAAACACAACATAAATTTAAAATAAGAAGTGTTTTTACAAATAATATTCAATATTTACAAATAATATTCAATATGATAAATTGTTCATATCAGAAAACAGATTTTAGTGCTTGTAAAATACTCGTCGATCAGCAAGAGTTGTCCTTCTTTCATCTTGAAAAGTACTACGGAAAAAAGGTTAATCTACAAAGTATACGGTATGTTAAAGATCATTTGAAACTAACCAACATATAAAAAATACGAGCCAATGTTAGAAACGTAAACTTTTTTCACAAAAGGTATATTTATGAAGAATAATTACAGCGGCAAATATTGTATCGCCATATGAAAATAATTTTCGTATTTTGATTTTATCCTTCTGATGTTATCGCTCCTATCAGAGTAAACAGAAACTTAAAATAAAAAGAAAGATCTTCATTATAGGGGGCTCCTTATTACTATGGGGTATTCATTATTTACTTTGCATCATTCGATGAGATGCGGTTTATTACCATTGGTGCTGCCTATGATTAGAACAAAGAAACTGAATGTACTATAGAATCAGATAGATCATAAAAATTACGTATATATCCATAAAAACGACAAAACATAATTTTCAAACAACCGATCAGATAACACTAAATCAAGTGATTTTTGAAATCACAAGATTTTACAAAAATCAACAGCTGAAAAACATGACTTTTCACACTTTACACAACTATTTCCCACGATAAATTAAAATCCAGGCTTTTCGATATTATTGACAGCTGCTTTATCAAAATAAAGTGAACTCGTAAATTTACTTAATTTGTCAATGGTTATTTGCAAAATTACTTTGTACAAAAAATAAACAAGGATTGTACGTACACACAAGGAGTAGCATTTTGAAAGAATTTCACAGAAATTTATACTTTTAGTAACCACGGCAACACCGTTCATCGAAATCGAAAACCGAAACAGAGAATTATGTATCTTGGTGTAGTCTACTTGTTTGCCAAGTTATATTGAAATCAAACCAAAACTGTAGGAGTAATATTTTGAAAAATTGTTTACAGACAGACAGACGGACGCCGGACGCATTAATATCGCATAAGCTCTTCTGGACTCTGACCAGTAGAGCCTACAAGATGCCCATGGGTCTTATAGGTCACCTGAGCATTATGCAACAACTTTCCAGTGATTGAATATGATTCATGTTTTAAGCCACATGCTATGGCATTCACAATTTTGAAAGAGGCACCATTGATCATCATAACTACATGTATATACTTGGCAGTTGCTTAGGTTGGTTACTAAATACCCATAGGCAGGGTAGGGGAACAAAAATGCATTTCAACTTATCAGTAATATTCAGCAATAATCAGTAGTGCCACTACCACACATGAACCCCTGACCCTTAGGCCTAGATCCACACACTGCACAATTTTTGAAAAAGGCATCCTTGCTTTTCAAAAATATTTAATTAATACAAAGGAGCAGATTTCAAACAATTTAGGTATTCATTTTCAGTATATAAGTACAGCTCCCCCCCCCCCCCCCCCTCTATGGTACCCCTGACCCCGGGGCCTTGAAATTCACAATTCTGGAAGATTAGAGCCCTTGCTCATCATAACTATATAGTTCATCTGCTTATTACCCAGGAGCAGAGAAGAAAATTTTCAAAGATTAAATAAATAAAGCCCCTCCTAATACCAGAACCCCTGACCCAGGGGCCATAGAATTCACAATTTTGAAAGAGGTAGTCTTGCTCATCATAACTATGTACTTAGTTTATTTAATACCTAGGAGCAGAGAAGAAAATTAACAAAGATTTAATGTATTTTCACTATATAATCAATAGAGCCCCAGCCTACCTGGGGCCATAAAATCCACAATTTTGGTAGAGGCACTCTTTCTCATGATAACTATGCACTAAGTTAGTTTATTTGATACATAGGAGCAGAGAAGAAGATTTTCAAAGAAATAATGCATTTTCAATAGTACATGTATATAATCAATAGAGCCCCGCTCTAACACCAGAACCCCTGACCCTGTGTATTTTCACAATGTAATAACAGAACCCGTCCTAACACTAAATCCCCTGATTCTGGGGCCATAAAATTCACAATTTTGGCAATTTTTGCTCATGATAACTATGCACTTAGTTAGTTTATTTAATACCTAGGAGCAGAGAAGAAGATTTTCAAAGAAATAATGCATTTTCAATAGTACATGTATATAATCAATAGAGCCCCGCTCTAACACCAGAACCCCTGACCCTGGGCCCATAAAATTCACAATTTTGGAAGAGGCACTCATGTTCATCATAACTATGCACTTAGTAAGTTTATTTAATACCTAGGAGCAGAGAAGAAGACTTTCAAAGAATTCATATATTTTCACTATATACTCATTTAGCCCGCCCTAGCATCAGAACCCGTGACCCAAGGGCCATAAAATTCAAAATTTTGATAGAGGCACTCTTGCTCATGATAACTATGTACT